GTTCCATTTCAATTTGGTGGAGACCATATGTCTAGATCAGAGACGAAGTTTGAAGATTTTTCTGTTTATTTAAATGATCCTTGGTAATAGCACTTAAAGGTGTTGACCATGCCTTCATAGAAACAAAAATTACCGAATTTTTTTTACTGAATTTTTATAGCAACAATTTAAAATTTTTTGCTGTGACTTAATTACTGAAAAATTTCTGCTTTCATAATTATTACTTAAAAACCAGCCTTTCTGCTCAAAAAATTAAACGAAAAGTGACCAAGTTTGATGAAAATTCAAAGAGCGAAAGAACACACATTTCCCTTTACAAATGTTCACTATTAATTAACCATTTTAATTTTCGCGGCCACGATTTTCTGAACTAACCTGAATTTAATATCGAACATAATATTCATATAAGGCACAATTTTTTATACACAGTTCCTTAAAAAGTAATCATAATGAACGTACTAAATTTTTATTAAAATTTGAACGGACTATAACTTTAAATTCAATTCCAGTGGGTTTTGTAACGACTTATTACGTTTCCCGAAAATATAAATTTTATTCTCTACGGCACTGGTAAAAAGCAATTAATTTTTGGTAATGAAATAATTATTACCACGGCTAGCTCAATAATGAATAAATTTTCAATTACGTTGAAAGTGAATCTAGAAAAATTGTTGACAAATTTGAATTCAGAACAAACCGTGCTTCAGGTGTTTAATAGTAGTTTATCAGTTGAAATTTGATTTGTGTGTAATTAGCAATGTCCCGTAGTATGGAAGTGTTAAAATTTACCCTTGTAATATATTTACAGTTACACATAAATCCGCCAGCCAATCACCTCCGCTACGCAATGAAGGTTTCTTTCTGTCATGTAATATTAGTTTACCTATAATGGCTTGTAACAAACTCACGTCAGTAAATTCGTCGAAATGGCGGCACAGTTTCTCTAGTAATTCAGTAATTTCAACTTTCGCACTAAAATATTACGCATGATACCACGGCGAATGGTTCTTTTCCTATCTTTCGATGACAGGAATTTTTCTGGTCTTGCAATACAAATGTTACGTGATGTCAAATGCCGCGTTTGAGTTACAGAGATACACCTCCACTGCTTGGTGAAGAATGCCGCTCTCCCACCAAAGTTTTTATAGTGTATATTTTTCTACATGGTGATGGTTTTTTACAACCGGTAACAGTGTAGCCTTTCACTCTAATTTGTTTGACCAACCGTTTCTTATTGCAACGCGCTTCTTTTTCTCGAATATTAGTCCTGTTCTCTTTCAATATGAAGCGGTACACGTATAAAATTTTCTGTAGCAGAAAATTTGTAAATAACAGTGGTAAAGTGCATGCAGAAAAACCGGCTTCAATCACTTGATCTCTGAACATACAACTCAATATTTTTCTTACTTCTGCCAAATATAATTTCCGATGGTTTTCTTAAAGATTCAGACCTTGAAGTTTACATAAATGGAATTAAAAATACCTCACATAACACGGCGCTTATTCATGTGACGAGATTCATACCAAACTCCTTACATCGATAACTGATGGAAATGTAGGTACATTGGAAGTTTCCAGTCGGATAACTTTTTGTTCAAGTAATTTGCCGGGCAGTCGGTACTCTCGGCCCGCTCGGGATGAAATTTTTTGAACGGTCGGTCTTTGCATTTAACAGTTACAAAGTAAGTACAATTTTACCACAATGGGGTGGGTTTACTGGTTTTTTTTACAGGTTTTGAACGTTTTTTGATATTTAGCATTAAAAGAAACTTAGATACCATACGCAAGCTCGCCTACTATACTTTAAGAAATATTTTAACAAACGCAAGTTTTTAACACAAATTTATGTGATAAAGTCACAGATTCTTACGAGACAGTGCAATCCCCTTTTTGCGTTTGCAAACTTAACAGTAGCTCTTTTCAGCGCTGGTGCGCTTAATTAGTTTGTCCTTGACTGCGTACGGGTATTTTAATCTTCTTAAGGAAAGCGGTTTAGTCGACGTTGACTTCTTCTTAGACTCGATAATCCGTATTTTTCCCGCGTATGTAAAACTGGTACGTTAGAATTAATTCATTTCAAATACTCAACCATGTCGTAGAACCCTTAGTCCGAGACACGTGCTCCAGTGGTTTTTAAGAGTTAGTTGGGGTCGACTATTGACAAAGTAATGCAAACAGTAACTTTACTAACTGCCGAAAACAACAAAGCATCGATTTAATATCGTCTATCTTCGATGAATCAAACACGGGAAAGTCAAGTATCCCCCCCCCCCCTTATTTAAATTAACCACAAGAAAGTAGGTAGCGCTTACCTTTAAATTCTACGGTACCTACCTACGGGATGATATTGCTAATGATTTTGTTTAAGAAATAGAACAAATTTTTGTCTGTAGCATCATGTCAGTCTGATTCAAAATTTATGTTTGATAGCAATTTTTTTGTTCATATATCAGACATTTTCCAATGTGGTGGTTGGTTACATGACGCGAGATGGCATGACCTGACCATTCTGTCTAAAGTCACTAGATATGGAAAGTACCGCAATCATCCGCCATTTTTGGGCAAATGCTGCCAACTTAAAAAATTGACAAATAAAATCTGAATAGCTGTAATTTTTTATAACCTAACTTCATAGTACCTACTGTCATGTTTTATAAAAATATATACAGATATCTCCAAACAGGTGGATCAATTCCTAACATTAGAGTTACTAGAATCTGGTAAGTTCCGCCATTTTTGGGCAAAAATCATACGTTCTCTCTCTAACACACAAGCCCAATGGATTGCGGTACTTTCTATATTTAGTGACTTTACTTCTGTCGTTCGTGCAATAAAGTGGTCGAGACACAGTTTTACCTACACGTCAGACGTGCCACGTGTTGCTCCATTCTTCAGTTGTACTTTTATAGGTTTCCTTTCCTTTTTTAAATGAAAAATTGGCTGAAGAGAAGATGATAGAGGCGGTACGGGAACACGAGGAACTTTACAACAAAAAAGATGCTAACTACATGAAGGCAAGAAAACTATTTCTTCAGTTGTTATCGGCCTTTGAGCATTACAAATATGAAAGTTTTCCTACTCAAAAATGATTCCAAAATAGAATTGGAGATGGCAGAAAGGTCAGAATTTCACCAAATTTGCTGTGTGTACTTACAGGTCATAGTTACGACCACGCCTAAAATCAAAATTGGCGCCAATTTCTTATTAAATCACTATTTTAGGTGATTTTGGTTTTGACTCCCAATGTAATCTCAAGTGACTAAAAAGGGCCTCCGCCCCTCCAAACCAAGGATAACAAATTTTATAAATTACAAAGAAGGTGAGAAATTCTCAGGTGCTTATGTGTATAAACAAATTCCAAATGAGAGAAAACTAGTTAATTTACTCCAATTCCAGAAAATTTGTATTTTTTTGTGTAAAGTTTTTGTAAACGCAAAATTCAAACTTCTTTCCAATTTACTTAACAACGGATGAGGGTCCATTTTAGACCTGTATTTTAACTGTTTAGAGATTTGACCCTCATGTGAATCAGTGCATTTTTTGTAGTATTACACACGATTGCATTCCCACTTCTGTTCAAATTATACTAAATGATGGGATGATAAACGGGCTTTACCTAATATGAACCTTCAGTCATTGAGCGATACAACCCATATTTTATTTTGCCGGCCCGTGTGGCGCAGTTCAGTTAAAGATGAACTGTGGTGCTAAGGGTCCCTGGTTCGAATCCGGGTTCGGACATGGATATTTGTAGGTAAATGTATAGTGGGTTGGGTTGGTAGAGCAGCCTTGGCTGAAACCCCGATCACTCAAAAATAAAGGCAAAATAAAAATAAAATATAGCACGCATTGTCCACTGCACGAAGATTTTTGTTTCATTTTACGTACGTACGTCAATGATACAAGTATATGTACCGCTGAGGTACGTACATTTGTAGTGCAAAAATAACGTACCATGTACGTGAAATGTACGTACATAAACATACATGTACGAGAAATGTACGTTCGTAAATCTAGCACTGTACATACTATGTATTTACATTGTACGTAGTTGTGCTATTTGGGACGCTAAATTGAGTGGTGTGAGTTGCCATCGGCCATTTGGACCAGTTTCAATTTAATTTCACTCCCATCTACAACAGTAGCCTTACTTATCTGTTTACCAGTAACAGTAACGACAGGAACAGGTCATTTTCACAACTTAAAATAAAGGTTTACCTCGGGTTTACCAAAAAAAAAAAAAACGCCAGTCTGGGGATTTTATCCATACAGTGTGACTAAGTAATGTTTATGCTGACTGGATCTTCGTGTGGTACCGTACTATTTTTGTACCAAATTATATTAAGTTCGTAAAAAACCGTTCTTACACTAAAAAATAGATGGAATAAAGACTTGCTCACGGTGTAAAATAGATAGAAGTGTACGAATTGCTTCTTCAATTCTGAATCAATTTCGTGGTCGTCCATCTTAAGAAAGAGATGGCAAATGTAGATTCTGTCGGAGTTTTCTTACCAAAATCACGATCAACTCGTCTCTTTTACACGGTATCGACCATAAACTGGAATCACCTCTCATTATTTTACACCCTGGTCTTGAATAGTCAAACATTTTTGTCAATCTCAATTAATTTTTCCATCTATTTCTTTTGATTTGCTGTAGTCTTGAGTATGAACGATTTCAGTAGATTTTTACAGGATCGTAAGTAATGTGCTCTTGTTTTGTTTAGACTTTATATCCGGGTATATTTTTAACCTCTCGTCGTCTTCTTAAATAAATGCGCCTATAATCAATCTACATTTTAATGTTATGTGAGAAAAAATGAAATTTACATTTTAAGCTTTAAATAAACCCATAATTTAAATCAACTACACATTTCTGTGCATTTGAATTAAAAATGAAATGAAGTCATTGTGAAGTGTAAATAAACTAATGCTGTAAGTGTTTCTTTTTGACAAGTAGAGATGAAGCTGGAATAAGGTTATAAATAAAGGGAAGAAACGTACTTCTGATAAATTTATTATTTATAATACATAATTATACCTAAATTGACAATTTCCGACAACTATGTAATAAATTCTTATAAATATTTTATGTATCTGAAAGCTGCATATGTAACGAGTCGTTAATTAATAATGCGAAGGTTAACAATCTATAAGTTCTGTTATCATGTCAGTCATCGGTATAGTATTTTTGCTGGGAGGAAAATAAATAATGACACCGCCTAATTCGATTATTGTTGAGAGACGTGACAGTGCTCAGATACATTAATCATAATGGTAAAATAAATTATGTTTATGTACATGTGTTTATATTGTACAATTTTATCGGAACTCTTGTTTGCGGAGCGTTTTGTCCTACGCAGAAGCATCATCGGGTGAAGGCATTTGCTCCGTCAGTTTGCTTAAAATCAATTAAAAAAACGATAATATCACAAGATATAGGAGAAATTAGTCCTACGAAGGACTGTTAGGCGAGTCTTGTTCACGTAAACTAGTATCGGGAGATCGCGAGGGTGGCGCATAGGGCGAATATCTGTGCTGTGCCAGGGGCCTTGCTAGGGGAGAAATAGGAGAGGATAGTTGCGAACTTCCAGCTGCGGCCACCGCCAGTTGGTGTTGATGTTGCGCCGCCAGAAGTGAGGGGCCTAGGCACGCCCACTGGCTCCAAAGGACTCCAGGTGGAACGCTGGTCGCCTGCGATCCACTGGCACCGTAAATGCTGCCCATTAAGGGAGCGTAGGGTCCGGCGGCTGCGGCGGCGGCTCGCAGGAATAGCTGCGAGCGAGCCGCTAGGATCGCCTTCTCTTCCAACGATAAATTGTTGTTGTGCGTGTCTAATTCGGCGAACGGTCGAAGGGGGTTCCTTAGGTAGTGTTGTTCGGCAAGCATCGATTCCATGGTTTCCCTGCAAAAGGTGTCACTTTGGAAAAAAGTGAAAGTAGTTATTTTTCAAGCAAAAAAACTTAAGATTTGTAGCTTACCGTTCGAACTCCGTTAAACGCGATGAGTCGCGAAATCCCTTCGCGAATGGATTGCTGTCGATTTTCAACTTTGTTATCTGCAACAAAATGCATTTTATATATTTGCTAATAAATTTAATTAAGGCATGATTCTACTAGATTCTTTTAGTCTCCCATTAAGTACGTGCCAAAAAATGCAATCCACAAAAAATTATACAAAAAAGAGAAGGATAAGCGCGGATTTTCATTTGAAATGTAATATTGGAATGTGATCCACCTTTTATGCATATACATTTAATTTAAATAAATTTGGGAAAAGCATTGCGACATTGCACTCATATTTTTCATTATTAATAATAAACGTATTTTTTTAAATATTAATACGAGTATAATGTAGCCGAATTTGTTCTATAGTAAGATAAAAGCACATCTGGTCGGTATAGATAAGATAATAATTAGATAGGTAGATTTACAAGCAACATAACGGAGAAAAATTCATTTTTCCGATACGATTTTTTGGGGCATCCTGTATACCCACATTTTGAGTGAAAATATGCGCAATTCAAAAACAAAAACAAAGGGACCAAGCGTATTTCCGATCACGCTTCCATTTCATTTTTATTGAATTTATAACCTTGTATAACCTTTCTGATTTTATAGAATTTTTACTCCCCGAGCGAGGGCGAAAAAATCCAATTTAATGCGTATCTGGGACTGGAAACGACGACGAATTTAGAATTAGTTTTTGAAGTTAAAAAAATCCAAATGCATTTCTTAACTGAGCAATAAAAACGACCAGAACTTCATGATAATTTAGCGATCACTTTTTACGAATACAACTGTTCAACGGTTTTTATATACCTATGACTTAAAAAAAAAGTTATTCGCATATTTCCTCGTTGAGGTCGAACTTATTTTGCACGCCCTTTAGGGATCATTCCACACATGACGGAAGGTTCCAGTGGAAGCCACGTGAAGGTAGCTGCTCGAAACTAAGGCTCGTACCAACGTAATCATGTGCACCACTACGATAGCAGCACTTTCACGTTAGTTCTTTGGTTCAATTGCCTTACGTTACCGCTGCTATACGAGAGTCATAGTTACTCCTACCCGTCCGTATGAGAACGAAGCATTTTGGACCCTCGATCAGTTCATTGAAAACAATTTTTATATCGGTCCATTCTACTGCCCAATTTTTTTTTAAATGTACAGAGTGAGTTTTTTTCCGGTTTTTTTAATATGAGAGGATCTTGCGCGGAATCTTGTAAACCGTCATAGATACAAAGTCGCTTAAATGGGCAAAGTATCACAGAATTTGACGAGAATTTTATGTAGATTAATTTTCCCTTTAGAGTTTCTTGGAGCGTTACAAATAACGAAGTTATGGTAAAAAAAAAACAAAAAGGTCATTTTCGAAAATGCGCTGGCGTAAATTTATTTTGAGAGATATGAAAAAATAATTTTAACAAACTCTGGGAATCAATACTGAATTTTTGTCTTGAATTTTAGAATGTATTTCTAATAGTTCCACGGCTTGCTTGAATTTATTTAACATTTTCCGTTTGTTGTCTTGGATGACTATAAACTATTAAATTGAACTAGCTGGATAGATCTTTTGTAGATGGCTTAGTGACCGTTCGCAATCGCACACAGCGATAATATAATATTTAAAGTTACCATGTATGTTAGACATTTGCAATACCGAACTTCAAAGTGAATAAGTAAATTTTTCATTTTTTAATTTAAACACAGTAGGGCGCAAATTTTTGGTGATTCCGTTTTCCGGGGTAACGGAGACGATGCGTGCATTCAATTCACATTCGAAGACAGACGTTTGAGATTACGTTACCACGTTTTTGACGTTATATTTATTTGCGTTTGTTAAATTAGTCAGATTTAGTGACAAAAATGCTAAATATTGCTTCCGCAGTTGCATTTCCTACATATCTACAATAGATCAAAGGTATAGAAGCCGGCATCTTCAACACTAGTTTAGAGAGATTATTGTGTTGACTGCTTTACGTTTTCAACTTGAGGTAGCGAGTAAAATTTAAAATGAGGAATTGGGCATTCAAATTGAAGTGTTGATGTAAAAGATTGAGATTGAAAGAACTCCTTCGTTGTCATTAATCCTGCCTCGTCGTTTCTACTTTTTTCGTAATTATTTTCGACAAACTGGGGTCTTTACTACCCTATCTGCATGACATGTTCAAGGTGTAAGGTGTGCGTTTCTATGAATAATCGTGTGTATCGTCTTGCGCGTAAGAGTTTTCAGAGTAAATTAAATATTTATTGAATTGTGTATTAAACTTAAGATAGCAAGAAGGCACATGGAATGATTAATTTATAACATCTATAACGTTTGCATCTAAATAAAGCAGATCTTGCACTTGGCCAGTATTTTATTGATTTAAAGTATTAATTCAGGTAACGTATCGATTGCATCTTGATTGCAGGATATTGAATTTAGCGCAATTATCTGAAGACAATGTTCTCAAGTTTCTTGGCATAAATGTACACAAATTAAGTAGTTAAGCTTATATAACCTAAGGAGCAACTACAAGAAAACTGCTGGAGGTAACATTTTCAACTCTATACATCGTAAAAAAACCACAAACAGTGGCCTTACCGACGTTGGAAGTTGTTTCTACGCCTATATCGTTCCTTCTCGACCTAACGTATTTCCCAAAATAGTAAATGAAGAGCACGAAAGACAAATCTCTGGAAAGCAATTAGTGATATAAGTATTCTATTTATTTTTCAAAAAAAATTTCATTATCGAAATAAAATATCAATGAATTTACAAACTCCCGGCTCGCACTAGCCTTTGGAACGCTTCCAGTTATAGAGAAGTTTCAGACCAGTTTCTTTGATGCCGAGTTTTATTTCAAGAAAGAAAGATGTTGCTATTTAGGGCGTTTTTGTGTTTCTATGCTACCTACGTTAACTACCTTTTCTCTTTTGCAGCGTAAGTTGAGGTAAAGCTTATNTATAATTTAGCACCATTATCTGTGTTATCTTGCATATTTCTAGCAGAATATGCTATATGCGATAATCGACTTCGAATGCATTATTAAAAATCTTGAAATTTTTGACAATTTAAGTTCAAAGTTAGATTTAAGCATGAATTAACACCCTTTTCTGTGTTGTCTTGCATATTTCTCACAGAATATGCAATATGCGATAATCGACTTCGAAAGGATTATTAAAAATCATAAATTTTTCACAATTTAAGCTCGACGGGACCTTCAAAGTTAGAGTGAAGAATGAATTAACACCTTTTTCAGTGTTGTCTTGCATATTTCTCACAGAATATGCAATATGCGATAATCCACTTCCAGTGCATTATTAAAAATTGTGAAATGTTTGACAATTTAGGCTCACCCGCAGCTTTAAAATTTGATTTAAGAATGACAACACAGTGTTCTGTGTTATAATGCCTATTTCTCACAGAATATGCATAATTTAATACCATTATCTGTGTTATCTTGCATATTTCTCGCAAAATATGCAATATGCGATAAACGATTTCCAGCGCATTATTAAAAATCATAACAGTTTAGACAATTTACGCTCGACCGAAATATCATCTTCGGTGTTATCTTGCCTATTTCCGGCATAATATTTTAAAATTTTTTTATTATTATATTATATAGTATATTATATTATATTATATTATATTATATATTAATACTAAGTATCGTAGGCCTCGACCGGATACATGTTCCGCTGGAACAGCACCACTAATCCACAGTCGCTGCTAGAAACACATTTCAAAAAATTCAATCAAATCAAGAACTTTATTATTGAAGTTCCAAGAAGTGTTTGTTTTCTAATAAAAACGTAACCGTTGCCACGATGAACAAGCATCAGTATATGTATAGACAATTAGACGATGTTTTTGGAAATAGGCCGAAAGGAGTAGTAGATATAAAAATAAAATTACAAAGAAAAAAAGTAGTAGGCAAGCTTCTTGGTATATCATTTGGAAAATGTTGAAATGATAAATGAGTGGAATAATTAAAAGTTAATTTAACACCATATACCGAGATCGCATTAAATAATCTCCGTATCTGAGATGATATCAATAAATAGAAAATCAGTAAAACAAACAGGATAGGACTCCTGGGGTGGGCCAATTATCTGTTCACGGGGAGTGACAGCACCCGATAGACTATGCTAAGAATGCAGACTCCCTACGCGTTCAAATATTTCATCTCAACTATATGATGCATGAGACAGCTTCAGCTCAGTAGATGATTTGATACAGGACCGGTCTTTATACTCTTGTGCATTTGTTACAAGTAATTTGTTGATGAATATGATTGATTAGCCTTCATTTCATCGAATCACCATTAAAACGCAAGTCAATTCGTACAAGAACTTTTTATTTGCGCATTCCTCGGAATGTATTTCCATTTCATATTTTATGACAGATAAATTATAAGAAACGATCAACATCTACTGTTATGGCAGGGGTCCTTTCTTCTTCGTTATCCAATTAAGAATGCGTAAAACGTTTCGTTGGGTAAATTATAACTTTTCCACGTAAAGTTGACTCATTACAAATTACTAATGATCACAAGTAGTTTATTTATTTCAAATAAAATCCTTCCTGCTCGTTAGGAGCTTCCTCACTTACGTTGTTGTGAAATATGTCATGTATCCGCGTTATTCCAGTCCCCTTGGTAATCCGTCACTCGACAAGCACATCGCATCTCATGTGTCGCGCCACACACGCGCGTCGTGTGAAACGTCCTGTCTCATTTAAAAACTATTATTTATGTTTACTTTTGGTACGGTATGCTACTTTGCGAGGGCGCTTATTTCTGGCGGCCTTAAATTCCACCACGTTCACATTTTCGCACTGCACTCCAAGCGTCGAGCGCCTATGCCATCATCGCGCCTTAGAGGTAGGTACTAGTGATTCGCTCACGAACATCAAGTAATCATTAAACCATCTACCGGCTTAAAAAACCGATAACTCAAACTCCGACTTCAAATGCTGGTGGAGTTTACCTAACCCGATATCTTTAGAGCCATCGGGTACGAAGCTCGTAAAACACCTTCACACATGTGACTGGCGCTACTGCTCTTT